TTCTTCCCCTGAAATTGTGTTTCGTTGTTTGAAATTGTGGAGATGGGTCCTCCGAATCAGCATTTAATGTTTTCCATATGTACTTGCTAGTGTTATCCTCAGTAATGTTCATAAGGGGCTCGATTTCTACCCACTTGGTAAAATAATCTACTTTTACTATCATAATTCTCATATTGGATCTTTCCATGGGCAGTGATCCTACAAAGTAGATTTTCCACATGACAAAAGGCTAGGGGCCACTGCTGGTTACCAACTCTTGTACATGTTATCACGGAATTAATGTGAACATTTGACACTTATCACATTTTCTGGTAAAGTTTATTGCATCTTTTCTCATATTAGGCCAATAATACCCCTACTTTAAGGCTTTTTGTCTTAAGGAATGTCCACTAGCACGATTGTCACATACATTTTCATAAATTTCTTTCATTACGTGCGAAGCTTCATTCGCTTATGCACTTAAGTAGAAGGAGTGTGTACCCTCGTTTGAATAGGATATCACCTTGCAGAGTATACCTAGTAGATCTTATCGCAATTTTTGTATGCCTTTTTATTCTCAAGAAGTATTTCGTCTTTTAAATACGAAATGATATCTTGCATCCGCGAAGTTTTGCCATGTATCCATAAGACGTCCTCCCTTTTTTGGCAAATTGACGATTTTGGTAGCAATTCTATGGGAACTGTTTTAAACAACATTGCATCTTTTGAAACTTGCTAGCTTTGATAAGGCGTCAACATGCTTGTATTCCTTTCTAGAAATTTGGATAAGTTCAAACTTGTTAAAGAACCAAAGTAATTTTACGGCTTCTAATTTCAATTCGCGCATTCTTTTTTCAACCGTAGGCCTGCCAATAATTCTTGCTTTAAATGTGAACCTTAATACACAATTCAATTTGTGCCCTTCTGGGCTTGTTAGTATTACACTTACTCCCGAGCTAGTATCTTTCGATGATCTATTCACCGACAACTTTCACGTTCCTTTTTTGGGCTCTTTCTCTGGGATTGGAACATCGACAACTCTAAAGTTGGCTAATGGATATGCTTTGATAACAGGTCGTCCTTTATAACTAATCTCAAACTGCCCCAACTCTACTGCATATTTCATTAACCTTCTCGATGCATCAGGCTTTTGTTGTACTTGTTTGAGTTAAAAAATGGTTAATACTTCAATACTATGGCTTTGAAAATAAGTTGGTAGCTTTTACGACACTGTAACTAAGGCGAGGGCTAGCTTTTCCATATTTGGATACCTCACCTCTGCTCCTTGCAGGACTTTGCTTACATAGTATATCGGTAATTGTTATTGTCCTTCTTCTTTTACTAATACCGAGTTGATTGCCACCTTAAATGCTGCTAAATATAACTGTAATGTTTCATCTTTTTCAAGTTTAGCTAATAGTGGTGCTCTCCTTAGGTGGTATTTTAGGGCTTGGAAGACTTGTAAGCATTCGTTGTTACATTCGAACTTTTTTCCTCTTTTTAGCACTTGGAAGAAAAGGAAACATTTGTCCGTTGATCGAGACATAAACTTACTTAGGGCATCGACTCTTTCTATTAGGCCTTATACTCTTTTTGGCTTAAATGGGGATCGTATTTTTATGAAGGCCTGAATTTTGTCGAGGTTTGCTTCAATACCTCGTTGATTGATCATTTATTCGAGGAACTTTTCGAACTTGACTCCAAATGTGCATTTTAGTGAATCGAGTTTCATCCTGTATTTTCCCAATACATGGAAAGCCTCATCCAGGTGTTTCAAGTGGCCTTCAGCCTCAGGCTTTTCACAACCATATCATCAATGTATTCTCCATCATTTTTTCGAATTGATCTGCGAATAGTTTGTCCACTAACCTTTGATATGTTGCCCCCATTTTTTTAGCCCAAATGACATTACTTTATAGTAATACAGTCCCCAATTTGTCACGAATGCGGTATGTTCCTTGTCAGGCCCATACATTGGGATTTGGTTATACCCCAAATATTTATCCATGAACTTAGTAGCTCATGTCTCGCAGTAGCATCCACCAGTTGATCAATTATGAAGACAGAGAATTTTTTTAGACAAGCTTTATCCAAGTCTATAAAGTCTTGGTATGTTCACCATTTTTCATTGCTCTTTGGTACAAAGACCGAATTGCATACCCAGATTAGGTAGCGAGCTTCGTGAATAAAACTATTTTCCAATAACTTAACCACTTTGCTTTTTGTATTTTTTGGCATTCATCGGTCGACTTCTTTGTATTTTAGGCTTGATTTTAGGTTCAAGCTTCAAGGCGTGACATGCAACTTTAGGATCGATCACAATCATATCTGCATGTTTCCTAGCAAACACATCTAGGTTTGCAGCTAGGAAGTTTTTTTAGTAAGCTTTTCATAGGTTTGCTAAACACTTTGTCGATTTAAAAAAAAGTTTTGCTAGAATCTTTCTTCTGAGCTCCTGAAAAAGCTTTCTAACTCTTCAACCGCTACCACTTTTGATGTACACTCAATTATGCGAGGGTCCATGGAGTCATCCATTTTTAGTTTATTCTAAGGATTACTTGTTTCAACTACAGCAACAATATTTCTATGAGCTTTCGAGCCTCCTTCTTGGTTGCTTTTATAGTTTCTGTGCAAGATTTCTTGATTGTACTTTAAAGACATTTCGTCTTTATTGGTAGAGCATCTCACTTTTTAATGACAAAGAGAAATGATTATACCGTCATATGCGATTTCACCCTTGACGATGTCAAAATTTATATATCATTGGGGCCTAGGGCTCATTTCCTATAATCACTAACAGAGTAGCCTGTCCACAAAGGACCGACCTCTTCTAGTAAAGCGGTGATGATCCGTCACAAGAACTCGAAGGTTCATATATGATCGAAGGCTCCATCTTATAGTACATTTTTTGTACTTTCATTGTCCAGAGTATGCGATGAAGATATCACCCGCTATTATGGCACAAATCATGATTACATCATTCTTAGCGCTTGAAATTTCAATTCTAGGTTCAATAAATGTAATTGAAGAGGTTAAGGGTGTGTTACCTGTAAGATTACATTTTCTTGCATTCCTACCTTCCATGTTCTGTATCTTAGTACATAGAGCGACGCGTTCCGTCATTAGTGCTTTTAGATTTTTGACCATCTTTCGGATGTTTTTCGCGGTCGAACTTACTCGTGTATTAGCTAGAAAACTACAGCTTCCTAAGTTCTTGTTACTTTGATCAATTAGCACATGATATTTTTGAATTTGATGCTTAAAAAGAATGGAAAACTGTCAATTATGAGCATCATGGGAAGGAAAAAGAGGAGTGGCCTTAAACACCGAGTTACAAATAACTGTGGTAGCATTAAATGCTCTTCTAAAGTCAGGTAACAGTTCTTGTTTTATATTACCAGTCTGTAATGAAAGACCTCTACTTTTTATTTTGTAGACTTCCATTCCGGATTTAAAGCCTCACCTCAGTCACTACAAGTATGCATTCCATGGAGGTAGAGGAACACTGTCAGTTATCATTCCTAATGGACTTGGTGCACTGCAAGGAAGATCGAAACCAACCATGATACACCCTGGTTAAACAAGGAAATATTGAGTCGAGCCAAAGATAATAAACGCAGGCGCTGCTTGGGAGGCAACCAAAGGGAGTTCGTTCCTTTATCTTTTTATTTTTATTTTTCGCATTCATATTTTAGTTATTTTTGTCTTTTTCTTTACATTTCTCCTCACATTGGGGACAATGTAAGTTTTAAGTGTGGGGAAGGGGATTTAGATTTAAGTTGCATTTAGATTGATTGAGTTTAAATTTAAAAAATTTTGCAAATTTGTGCATGATTTTTCAAGAAGAGGAGTTGAAGTTAAATGATTGTTTTGGTTGTGTATGCTATTTGCAAGAATTAATTAGGTTTTTGAAGAATTCATAACATGATTGAATGAATAATCTTCCAACTTAGAGTTAATTAGTTAAGTTATTTGCTTTGAAGATGGTAGTAACTAAATTTTGTAGACAAAAAGTCGGTGAGATTTTGAGCCTTTAGACTGACACATCCATAACAGTCTCATTATTTTTTTTTGTGTGATATTCTTCCATGGTTTTGTTTCTTTAGAACTCGCCTTGATTCTCTTCAAGATCGCATTGACACC